TATATATATATAGAGAGAGAGAGAGAGAGAGAGAGAGAGAGAGAGAGAGAGAGACATGGTATCACGTTAGAAAAAAGTATTTTTCTGAGGAGTGTGAGAAGTGGTGAAGGTAACCTTATAGTGTGTGAATGTTCCGTTATATTCAGTGGATACGGTCACTTCCAAGCGCCTTCACTCAATATAAACCTTCACATATGTTATGTAAATGTTGCGTTTATGTGAAGGTTACATTTCTCACAATTCTCATTGAAAATGACTTTTCTCACGAGAATCAAACCCATATATATGTATGTATGTGTAATATATATACTATCTATATATACTATCTCGTGTATGATGCCAAATTAAGCCCATGGAGCACCATGGCGCATTGTGGAGTTTGTGTAACGCAATATTTGAATTTGCTTGTCTTTTTATTGTTTTACCTTTGAACCTAAAACAAAGTCAAAATAAGGTAACACGAGAATGGTCAAATCACAAGTGATTTTGCACTAAGATTACATGCGATTATGGAACACAATCAATACAAGGGCGTGTGAGCTACTTGGCCCTGGACCTAGGTCACGCATAATTGCATGCGATTTTACTTGTGAGCTTATTCCCGTGGATCTATGTAGAAAATGAGATTTTTGTCTTCTCTTTCGTCTTTAGAATGGCAGCTTCAGGGACCAAGAGATTGGAGAGCATTTCTTTAAATATTTGTTTGCCTTTGGAGTTCCATCATTTGTCTTCCATTTCTTGACTGGGCACCTTGTCATGTCAACTTGCTCACTCTTCCCTTCTATTGATAAAAGAGAAAAAGCAAAGGCCTAGAGATCAATGTGACTTTCCATTAGTCTTGAGAAGTGGGCCCAACATAGCTTAAACCATGTTGGAGATCACCACATTGTTGCTCACCCTTTTGCCAACAAAATTCTGAAAATCAAATATGTTACCCTATGACAACAATGCTTATTAGATGCTTTGAGACACTAAATATCATGCCAAAATTAAGACATTCTATACAACATATGTTTATACAAGGCCTAACTCTTCAACATCAAGTGAATTCGATGTTAGGATCTATAATCAAATGCTTACTTGCAGTAAACAAAAAACCAAGCACACATTATTTACATGGTTCACAATTTGTCTACATCCATGATTGTTGGTAGGATTCTTATTGACTTGTTATACCACATGCATTTTCAGTAGTACACATCAACATAGAATAAAGACTTTGATCCATGAATATGAAGAAAACCGGACAAGAGAAACTGTATCATGACCACCCAACGAGCACAAGTGTTTACGTTCAAATTTTGGGTCGTAGAACATGAAGCTCCCTTAATATAGTTTGGAACAATAGTAACTCTTCCACTATGTACTGCCTTTTGTCTTTGAAAGAAATACACCTTGAAGATTATTTCAGTTGGTGGTAAATCTTATTGGGGAGGGTTTTTGGTGGGCCATTTGATAAAACTAAAATGAAAAAGTGTCGATTGATTTAAGGGTTCTCGATGATTTAGAAGCTTTATGTGGTCTATATGAAACATTTGAGTAACACGAATGACAAATCAAACCCTGTATATTCTGTCCTGGGGGGTTGGGGGGGTCAGATGTACGCAAAATTCACCTCTACTCAATAATGGGAGAACAACTGAGGTTTTTTTTTTTCTAAAGAACCAAACCTCTGATTGATCCAGAGTTTAAAACCATTCAGATGTGTCAAGTGATCAAAAAACAACCCCCCATACTAAGGGTTAGTTTGATAAAGAATCTTTAAAGCTTCCATATGCTTGTTTGTTTAGCTTATAGTTGGGTCTTTTTCAATATACCCGCATAACAGAAAGTTTTGAGCGCTGTTCATTCCTTACTTTTGTCGGTTTGATCCTTATGTCTCCAAAAGGGCTTAAAGTTAAACTTCTTCATTCTTTTACTCTTTTGAAATCCTTTGCAGTTATCATGGACTTTCGAGAAAGAAGATATGAAGCTGGAGTGGCGATGGAAATTTAAACCAGCTGAAAATTGTAAGATCATCACTGCAGGAATCTTGGACTTCTTGATGGATGCTAACACACGTTTAATGGTTTAAGTGTTAAGGTAATTCTTACGTTGCTTGTAGTATTGAGATTCTTAAAAGAACTTATTCAAATCTCCAATCAAGCATCTCTTTCTTTTATTTATTACTCTTTCCATCCCAAAATAAATGTCCACGATGGAAAACAGCATATAGTTTTTGAAATAAACGACAGTTCTAGTGTTAATAATAGACAAATGTCGACACTTATTTTGGGACGGAGGGAGTACTTGTTAATGTTGTTGCTGGTCTGTTGATGTATCTTGGTTAATTTACCTCGTTGTTTTTATGTTACTTTCCCTTTTGAAATTTGATATGCTTTTATAACTGATAACTTTTCTTTTAATAAAATAGGAGGTTGTCATGAAAACACGGTCAAATGAGCAACTGAAAGCGGAAGCTGAAAAGCGTGTAGTGCAAAGTGAGAAGTTTCAAAACGAGAAGGTAGAGTTTGAAACGACGATTTACACCAAGGTACTAACATGTTCAGAGACATGTGTATGAGTACATGTATAAGGCTAGTCACATTTGCACGTTCTCTAAAAAAAGAGCGCGTTGAGAAATCTCCAAATTTAGAAGAAAAGAGAGAATATATCATACATGTAGGAGATCTTACACTCACTCGCCTTTCTCCATTTTGTATATAAGACGAGTTTGATCTCGAATATGACAAAATGGCGGGCCCCCCTAGAATCTTTTTCGGATCTAAGTTCTAAAAGACTTGGAATTTCACCAAGTCTGTGTGTGTTTCAGCTTTCCTAGGCCATCGCTGAAGGATTGTATAACGCTGTCATAGAAAGCTTTCAGCTGTGTTGCTAAAGGTCTATCAGCTATTGCTAAACAGCCTTCAGCTATCGCCGAAAAGGGTTTCAGCTTTCAATTAGCTCATCGCTGAAGAGGCAGATTCCAGAACTTAAGATTCGGTTGTAATGGTTATAGTCGTTTGTAACTAATTCTAGTTTCCAAAAACCGTCAATCTTATCCATTTTCTAATGGAACAGGGATATATACGTTTTTGTTCTCGTGTTGAAATCTGAACATTCGAATATTCTCTAGTAACTTGACTTTCGTTTTTATGCCTAAATTTGAATGTGTTATTAAGGATTATCCTAGATTGAATTTCATGATAGTCAGGCATAGGGTCGAAATATCAATTCAGAAAGTAAACTTACATAAACCTTAAGCAATCCAGATTCCGATTACCATTTACCCAATAATCCAAAATTTTCAACCGGTTACTGCAACTTTATTTATTAAAAAAACACGTACAATCGTAGTCGTTGGATCAAAAGAAATTAACAGTTACGTATTAGTTATCACGGTCCTCGTTGACCCAACCATACAATAATTTTTAAATTTTTAAAAGAAAATAAAATAATATTTTAAAAAGACCAAAATGTTTATGAGTTGAACCTTTTTTAGCCGAGTTTAATCGAGGGACCAAATCTGTAATGAAATAGAAATTGTAATAAACGAAACACAGGGGCCAAATCTGTAATTTTTGACAAACCATAGGGACCAAAAGGATCGAGAAAGAATAACAAAGGGATTGGGCTTTGGTGTATGTTGAAGCTCTCATCCTCTGTTGAAGATGGCGACAAAACGATGATGATGAAGGTGAATCGCGTAAGTATTCGTTCTCTTGCCTTCTTGAAATTGCAAGGTGCTTTTACTGCCAACTGTTGTGTTCTCGCTTCGAAAAATCATTTCTCATGTTTAGGATTAGGTTTTCATTTCGATTCTCACAGAATACTTTTAGCTCTCTTTCATTCCATTTCTTCTTCGAATCGTCATTCAATGTTTGATCATCATCGACGTAAGTTTGAAAAAATTGCTAAGCTTGATGATGCTTTGAAAGTGTTCGATGAAATGACTCAGAGACAACCTCTGCCATCGGTTGTTGAGTTCAATCGGTTGTTGGATGCTGTGACCAGAATGAAACATTATTCTTGTTCGGTTGATCTTTTTAAGCAAACTTGTGCGCTTGGTGCTCCTGTTAATGATTACACTATGAACATTGTGATTAAGTGTTTTCGTCATTTGTACCGTACGAATGAAGGTTTCGGTGTCTTAGGTTGTTTCTTGAAACGTGGTATTGTACCTGATGTATTCACCTTTACCACACTCCTAAACGGACTCATCATAGAAGATAGGATTCCAGAGGCAGAGAGATTATTTAAGAAGCTGATCAAAGAGGAAATTTGTGAACCTAATGTGGTTATGTACAACACAATGATTAACGGTCTTTGCAAGTTTGGCAAGAATGATGTGGCTATTGCTTTGCTTACACTGATGGATGAAAGATGTTGTAAACCTAATGTTGTCACATATAGTACCATCATTGATGGTCTTTGCAAAGATGGAATGATAGATGATGCATTAAAGTTCTTAAGAGACAATGGTGTGTCACCAAATGTTTTCACTTACAACTCTTTGATTCATGGTCTTTGTAATTTAGGTCGTTGGGATGAGGTCTCTCAGATGCTAAAAGATATGGAGGATAAAAGGATATTTCCAGATGTGCGAACTTTTAGTATGTTAGTTCATGCATATTGCAATGAAGGGAAGATAGAAGATGCGGAGGCCATTATCAATGTAATGATCCAAAGCGGGAAGGATCCCGATGTAGTGACATACAGTTCACTTATTAACGGGTACTGTATGCGAGGTGAAATGAGCAAGGCGAGGGAAGTTTTTGATTCAATTTTGCTCAAAGGTCTTCTCCCTGATGTTGTTACTTATAGTAGTTTATTGGATGGGTATTTGAAGAATATGAAGCTACGCGAGGCCATGGAATTTTTTCGTGAAATAAATAAAAAAGGTTTGAAACCTAATATAGTCATGTACAACATCATGTTACGTGGATTATATCGCGCTGGGCGTAGCGGGGCTGCACATAAGCTCTTTAGCAAGATGCAGTTACAAGGCCCAATTCCAAATGAAATCACGTATGGAATAGTTCTAGAGGGTTTATGCAATAACCGTCAAGTGGATGAGGCACTCTCTTTGTTCCGTTTGATGGATGATGAAAAGACAAATTTAAATATCGTTGTGTTCAATATTCTCATTGATGGTGCAAGCAAATGTGGGAAGCTTGATATCGCAAGGGCTCTTTTTAAGGAACTAACTGATAAAGGTCTACATCCTGATGTTAGGACATATAGTGTGATGATAAGTGGTTTTTTTCGGGAAGGTCTTGTAAGGGATGCAAAATGTCTGATTCTGAAAATGGAAGAAAGTGGCTGCCCTGCAAGGAGTGTCACATACAATGTTATTCTTCAAGGATATCTAAAGAACAAGAAGTATGATGAGGTAGAGATGCTTTTACAAGAGATGGATAGAAGAGGCTTCTTACTTGATGCTTCAACTTTATCTATGTTACTTCATCATATATCAATTAGATCATTAGACGGTACTTTGCTTAAGTTGATTGGTAAGCTTGTGCCAAAAGAATCGATGGATGCTCCTTATTTTTCTCTATGAATGGAATCGGGATATGGAAAAGGCACTTCTCTCTAATCCCTAGTTTGTAAGTTAGTCTTGCCCTTCTTTACAATTTTCTGCTTAGCTTCACTTTGGATGTTCAATAGTTTTAAGTTTTTCTTTCTGAAACAAAATTTTCTGTTAATTATTTGTAACAATATTGACTAGCTAAACCTTGCAATTTTAATTGAACAGGGTAATTACCTTCTTACTCTCTATTTGATGCGTAGATAAGTCACCAATTACATACTTGCATCTTGTTCGTGAAAAAACGATATACTTTTTCTTTTAATCCAATGGCTACTTCTTGTTGGTTGCTAAAATACTCATGTATTTAATCACAATTTTGACATCACCAAATAAAACATACTTTGAGAGTGAAACAAATATGAGATTATGCTCAAATTGTGATGCTGATTTATTGGTGTTTTTCTGAAGTATATAATATTTATATACGGCAAATACTCATTCATACTTTTCATCTTTAGTAAGGTTTGAACGCTTGGCCTCTTGAAAGGTTGGGCTTTAGAGCCAATGACCCTTTGGTGTTGAAGACATCATGAGCGCCTATCATCTCATGAGGGGCATATTTCTTGAAGAAAGTTGTAGGAAACATCTACAAAGGCCAACATACAAAAACTGCAAGTAAGTATGTTATCTGATTTTTTTCTCCTACTTGAAACTACGTGCACATGTGACTATTGTATTGCTACCACTAGTCTTCTTCTAGCACCATCACTGATGTCACTATCGTCATTAGGTATTTGGCCCACAAAATCAAGCTTCTTAGAGTAAAGGTAAGGTCCGCTTACATCTTACCTTCTTTTGACTCCGACTCCACCTCACCTCTAGCTAGGATATACTAGGCTCGTTTGATTTGGTTTGGGTGAGTTGCCATCTTTCTTCATTGAAACAACCACTATACTTTTTGAAGTATAGGTCATGTTTACATACATCTTACCCCTCCCAGACCCCAACTCCGGGTGGGATATACTGGGCTCGTTTGATTTGGTTTGAGTGAGTTGCCATCTTTCTTCATGGAAACAACCACTATACTTTTTGAAGTATAGGTCATGTTTACATACATCTTACCCCTCCCAGACCCCAACTCCGGGTGGGATATAATGGGCTAGTTTGGTCTAGGTGAGTTGTCATATTGATGTCAAGATGCCCTCCTTACCAAGGATCTTCAAACATACTTCATCTGATAAATACAAATGTTTTAACACCTAGGAAACATATGAGACTCCAAGATTCTTAGTTTCTAGTTCTTTTTATGAATAAACAATTAGGGTGCAACCATCCTCTTTGTATCATCATATGTGGTGAACATCAATATTATCCTTTTGTCAGCTTAGATAATCATATGCACTCAAAGTTATACCAAAATTCTCTAAGGCTCAAGAAAACCGAACCAAGGGATCCTATTTTTAAACAATAAGAGAGAGATCGAAGCAACCTACTTTGGATGACTCTAGAATTTTTTTGAGCCACTACTGCATATACATCTCCTTTTCAAGAACTTCATTTGGAAATATATTTTTCTATATACCTAGCGTACTGGCGAATGAGACACTGCCACCTGGCTATCATGAGATGGGACCATTTTGATCATAGGAATGAAGGTTTCATCATCACTAATTGGGATTTTAAACGATTAAGTGAGTCGTTCAGATTGAGCTTGAATAACATTGATAGGAAACATACATCAATGTATCGTTTGGTACGCCTTTTTTTGGAAGGCGGAAGGGAATTGACCCTTACGACTGAAAGAAAAAATTGCAGTTGTTTATCATTTAGGATTGTAGGAATGGACCATTTATCATCATTGTATTTGTTTGATTCTCATTCCCTCGTGTAATGGAATGAAAAGCTACAATAAGACTTGGGCGGTTGGGGATCCTTTCCCTAGGTGACGGGTTCGAATCTGTTCAAGCCCATTGGGGCTTTTCCTGGTTGTTCTCCAAGGTCCCAAGTGATTAATCGAGCTATGCACAATCTGCCCAAAGGACAGAGCTATTAGGAGCTAAGCGGGCTCTCTTGCACCCGTTCACTCTATTATTGCAAGAGAAAAAAAATTGTCCTATGAAAGTTGCTAGTCTTGTTTTTTAGGATTCAGGGCTGGCCCACAACATTTACTGATTCCAACAATATTATTTCTGAAAATATTAACAACAAAAATATAGTTAGAAAGATTAAATTCACAACCTCAAGTTTAATTATAAGCATTACTACCAATATACCAAGACAACTTTTTGTTAGTTTTTCTCCCATTTTGATTTTGTTATTTTTTTCTTATGATTTATTTTTCTTCCAAAGTCGATTCATCTTAAAAATTGTCGCTTTTTATCTTATTTTCAAGGCAATATATATTTATTTTTAAGGATCAAGGTAGATTCCATTTAAAAAAAAATGTATTTATTCTTCAAATCGACACAATTGACTTTTCCATAGGTCAAACCGTGATTTCATGGACGTTTGATCTACCTTTCTTATATAATATTTATTCAATTTGAATCATAATTTATTTACGTTAAAAAACATTTTAACCTCTATAAACCAATTTAATTAAATCTAATTGTCTATTAGCAAGGAACGGAAGGCAGAAGATGCGGAGGCTGTCACCAACGTAATGATCCAAATCCCGACGATATTAATGTCATACAATTGACAGGTGCTGAATGCACGGTGAAACGAGCAAAGTAAGAGAGCTTTTTGATTCATTGTGTTTTGAATGTCGTTCTTCTAAGATAGATAGACGTATTAAACTTACGCATGCTACTTTTCTTCGTAGGTGGGACATCATGGGACAAAAGAAGTTTTTTCTTGTTTTACCAAAATAAATGGAACAAGATGGACAAGAATAAGACATAAACTAAAATACTACTAAATATATAACCTCCACCTCGGCACCTCTACTGTAGTCGACCACCAACCACCACCGTCCATTGCCACAACTACTATCGCCATTCGCCACCTCCAACTCCTCCTCTACTACAACAACCTACTTCACCACCTTCACAACCACCATTCATTACCACCAACACTACCACCGTTGGCCACCTCCAACTCCTCCTATACTGCAATAACCTCCTCCATGACCTCAACAACCACCGTCGACCAGCGACCACCACTGTCTATTGCCACCTCTACAACCACCACTGACCACCACCATCCATTGCGACCTCCACTACCACGATTGACCACCTCCAACTCCTTCTCTACTACAACAGCCTCCTCTACGATCTCCGCCATCGACCATCAACCAGGTCGTCTATTGCCACCTCACCTCCACCATAACCACCACCACCACCACTATCTTCACTACATTAGGCACAACTACCTCCTCCACCATTGTCAACCGCCAACACCACCACAATCCACCATCTTCACGTCCTCTATAACCACCATTGTCCACCAACCACCACTTCCTCTACCTCCATAACTACTGTCGGTCACCGATAACCACCGTCCATCGTCACTACTACCATCGGCCACCACCACCTTCATCATAACCAAAACCACCTCCACCACCACCACTACTATTATCAATTGTATCAAAATTTTCATTTAAATTTGGTACCATTATATATGTATGTATTCATTGATATGAAAATTGTGTAAAAATATTTGTAAATTAAATTCTTTAATTATTTACTTTATTTGTGTTAATTATAACTATTATATAATATTTAAAATCATCAAATAACTTTTGGGGGTAACTTGTTTAGTTCTGTCATGTCCGGTCATAGTCGTACCAAACATCAGACATACACTTGTTCTGTCCAGTCCGATCACGTCCAGTCCTGCCCTCTTGTCATGTCCTGTCATGTCTTGTCATGTCTAGTCATGTCTGTGTACCAAACGTTACCTTAAAGAACTATTTTTTATGCATAAAATACTGTTTATTGATGCATATTACTTAAAATTTAAGATTACAATTAAATTGTGTATAAGTACAATTTATTAAAGCTTAATTTTGGAGTTCGTGTAACTAACTGCAAATATACATAATCAAATATATGATCAATATCTCATTTTAAATATAAAAAATCTAAAAAAAATTATGATAGTTCTAACATAATACTTATTTATTATTTTTATAGAAAATTATATTATTACATAACAAATAAATTACTTCATTATTATACTACGATAAAAAAATTAAATTAAAGAAATAGCACAATAACGAGAACGTTTAAATAGTAATTTTAATACTAATATCAATATTTTTTTTAAATTACTATGATATCTTCAAATTTATTTTCTATTAGAAAATAAAAGCGTTATTGTTTTTTTGAAAACCATATAAAATTGTATTATATCAACATAGACAAAAAAACAAAACGAAACTTTAAAATCAAAATATATCTTGTTACATTATACGAGTACCTTTCTGGTATATATATTAAAAACAAATGCCTTATTATATTTGACTATCTATTACAATGACTAAAAATTGGTGACAAATAAAAAGCTACAGTAAATTTCTATTAGTAATTTTTTATTGTTATTATTATAAATTTATTTCACTTATTTATGATTTTAAAAATAGTATAATTACATAATTTTAAAATAACAAAAAGAACAAATGAACAAAAAACTGGTCTCAACCGATCTATCCCATTCGAGAAAGTTCAGGAAGCGGTGGTGAAGCGTTGAAGAATCCCCACCATTTTGTCGTTATTTCATTCCTTTATAAAAAAATAGTAACACGATTTTAAAAAATGCTAAAGGTATTTGTGTGATGCAGAGAGATATATATTGATTTTAATGTTTTATTTTATTTTTTGTTTTTGTTGATGTTATAATACGATTTTATGTATTTTTAAAATACAGTAATAATTTTATTTTTGAATAAAATATAAATTTAAAAATATTATAAAAATTTGAAAAAAAAATATATTATTGTTAATATCAAATTAATTATTTAAACGTTTTTATTTTTTATGTAATTTTTTTAATTTATTTATTTTATTATAATTTAATTTAAGTTTAATAATATAATATTTTATAAAAATAATAATTGAGTATTCTGTTAAAACTCTAATTATTCTAATTATATTTTAGATTTTTTATATTTAAAATGAGATGTTTATCCTGTATTTGATTATGTTTATCTGCAGTTAGTACACAAATTCAGATATGGAGCTTTAATA